CTAGTCTAATTTAATATTATTTATTTATTTATTCCAATATATCTGCTACAGTTGGATTCTGTAATCGGTGAGTCAGTTTTTTTGTGTTTGCTTTTTTTAAGTGGTTGGACTTCTCAAATGTCTTATAATTTTTGCCTGTGAACACGTTTTCCCAAGGTATCACTTTTATTAGTTTGTGTGTAAAAATATTTTCTTCCTTTAAATCTTTCTACCCTCCCCCACTATAATTGTCATAATAGACACAGATTTATAATTTGTTCTGCCCAGGACTTAAGTTCCCTTAATGTTAGTGTTCAGATTTTTTTAATGCTTTTAGAGAGAGAGATAAAGGGAGAGGGGGAGAGAGAGAAACATTGATGTGAGAGAAAAATATCTATTGGTGGCCTCCCACACACACCCTGTCCAGTGATCAAACCCACAACTTGGGCATGTGACCTAACTGGGAATAGAACAGGGGACCTTTCAGTGCACAGGACAACACTCAACCAACTGAGCCACACCAGCCAGAGTGTGTTCAGATTTTTCCTTGATGTTTGTTTAGTCTAAGATTTTATATATTATCCTGGAGGCCTGGTGCACTTCATGCACAGGGGGAGGGGGAATCCCTCAGCCCAGCCTTCACCCTCTCCAGCTGCACCCTCTCCAATCCAGGACCCCTCAGGGGATGTCTGACTGCCTCTCGAAATCCTGGATTGCTGGCTCCTAACCACTTGCCTGTCTGCCTGCCTGATCACCCCTAACCACCTATGCCTTCCTGATTGCCCCTAACGACCTCTGCCTGCCGACCTGATTGCCCCTAACTGCTCCCCTGCTGGCCTGATCGCCCCTAACTGCTTCTGCCTTGCCACGCACCCAGGACCCAGGAGTTCCTCCTCCGGCCAGTCGCAGGCACCCGGGACCCAGGCTTCCCTCCCTCTGGCTGACCACAGGCACCCAGGACCTGGGCCAGCTTCACCTAGGCCGGCTGCAGCCACAGGGGACCGTGGGCAGGCGGCTTCACCCGGGCCACACCACAGGTGCTGGGGATTGCGGGGCAGGTGGCTTGTCCCTCTCCAGGGCCGCAGTTGCAGGTACTGGTGCCCAGGACCGCAGGGCGGGTAGCTTGTCCCTCTCCCAGGCCACAAGCACAGGCACAGTGCTGGCACCCTGGACCACAGGATGGGCAGCTTGTCCCTCTCCTGGGCCGCAGGCACAGCCGCTGGCTCCTGGGACTGCGGGGCGGGCAGCTTGTCCCTCTCCCGGGCCGCAGCCTGGCTGGTCCCCATTCCTCTCTCACAAGCTCATTTGTGCCTGGCTGGTCCTGATTCCTCTCCCACAGGCTCATTTGTGCCTGGCTGGTCCCCATTTCTCTCTCCCCAGTGTTGAGTGTCTGAAGCATTATGGCATGATGGCGTGAGGGCGCAACGACTATTTGCATATTAGCTCTTTATTATATAGGACTAGAGGCCCAGTGCACAAAAATTTGTGGACTTGGGGGGGTCCCTCAGCTCGGCCTGTGCCCTCTCACAGTCTGGGACCCCTTGGGGGATGACCACGTGCTGGCTTAGGCCCGCTCCCCGGAGGATTGGGCCTAAGCTGGCAGTCAGACATCCCTCTGGCAGCCCGGAAACCCTCGGGGGATGTCCACTTGCCAGTGGGGAGCAGGCCTAAGCTGCAGTCGGACATCCTTAGCTCTGCTGAGGAGGCGGGAGAGGCTCCCACCACCACCGCTGTACTGGCAGCCGTCAGCCTGGCTTGTGGCTGAGCAGAGCTCCCCCTGTGGGAGCACACTGACCACCAGGGGGCAGCTCCTGCATTGAGCGTCTGCCCCCTGGTGGTCAGTGTGTGTCATAGTGACCAGTCATTCCCAGTCGTTCTGCTGTTAGGGTCAATTTGCATATTACCATTTTATTATATAGGAGTGCCTAGCCAGCTTATGTGAGGGGCTGATGGCTGTTTGCAGGCTGGCCACAGCCTCTTCAGTGTGGGGGTCCCCACTGGGGTGCCTGGCCAGCCTGGGTGAGGGGCTGAGGGCTGTTTTCAGGCTGGCCATAGCCCCTTCAGGGTGGGGGGGGGTTCCTCCTGGGGTGCCTGGCCAGTCTGGGTGAGGGTCTGAGGGCCGTTTTCAGGCTGGCTAAGCCCCCCAGCGGGGACCTTCACCCCATGAGGGTGTGGCCATCATGGGTGAGGGGCTGATGGCTGTTTGCAGGTTGGCCACAATCCCTAGCCACCCAAGCTCCAGTGGAGGCTGGCTGGAAGCAGGTATCTGGGATTTATTTGTCTTCTATAATTGAAACTTCGTTTGCCATGAGCGGAGGCCACAGCCGGCTCAGGGCAGGCGGGAAGCTTGGCTTCCTCCATCACCCAGGCAACCAAGCCTCCTGCTTGCTTCAGTTCCATGGCTGCTGGCCGCCATCTTGGTTGGGTTAATTTGCATATAGTCACTCTGATTAGCTGGTGGGCGTGGCTTAGGGTGTAGCGAAGGTACGGTCAATTAGCATCTTTGTCTTTTATTAGTGTAGATTAGCTACTAGAGACCTGGTGCATGAATTCGTGCATGGGTGGGGTTCAGCTGGCCTGCCCCCAATGGGGGCCCATCCAGCCAGGCCGGCAAGGGGGAGGGGACTTGGGAGGTTGGCCAACTGGCCCCTGCCCCCAATTGGGGGGGGCTGTTCAGGGGTGTGGGCTCCAGGGGGAGGGGCTGCAGGCAGTCAGCCTGCCGGCCCCATCCCTGATTGGGATTGGGGGTCTGATTAGCAGCGGGGCCGGCCAGGGGGCCTGACTGGGGGTGGGGTTGGCCAGGAGGAGGGGCTGCGGGCAGTTGGGGTCGCAGTGCGCATCATAGCGACCAGTCATTCCAGTCGCTTGGCTTTTATATAGAGAGAGATTATTTTTTGGAATATTGTGTTTATCCTCTCTTTCTGGAATTTTGATTAGGTGATTGAACCTTCTCATTCTGTTCTTTATGTCTTTTAACTTCTCTCTCTTTTGTTTGTCTGTGCTTTATTATAGATTATTTCTATGGACTAGAGTTTTTTCAACTTACTGATTTTATCTTTTGCTGTGTCTGTTGTGCTCTTAAACTTGTCTGTTGATGTTTTAAATGTTTTTTATTTCAATTATTATAGTTTAATTTTTCTGAACTTTAGTTTTTTTAAAAAATCTGCTGGTTCTTTTTTCTTATGTATTTTATTACTTTATCTTTCAGTATTTAAATACAACTATTCTTGCCCAGCTGGCATGGCTTAGTGGTTGAGGGTCAATCTCTGAACCAGAAGGTCATAGTTCAATTCCAGGTCAGGGCACATGCCCAAGTTGCGGGCACAAGCCCCAGTGGGGGACATGCAGGAGACAGCCAGTCAATGATTCTCTTTCATCCCTCTCCCTTCCTCTCTGAAATCAATAAAAATATATTTTAAAAAATAGAACTAGTAGGTTTCTTTGAAAATACTACAATCTATAGTTCTAGGGGATCTAACTTAGTTTGTATGTCTTTTGACTCCCACTAAGTTTGGATTATTACTTAATGTGTTTTTAAAATTTGAATTGTGAGCTAATTTTCAACATGCCTGTATCCAAGGTTTAGTTCTTAGCCTGGATGGAGGATATATCCCTCCAGAGAAGTTTTGTGTTTATTTCTGTCAAGTGCTCTAGCTTATACAAACACCCTAGAGCCAGATTTTATTTTGATTTATTGTCCTGAGATAAACAATACCCAAGAAAGATTTTTTTAAAATTATTATTACCCTGAGCCTAGCAGTGGTTGGTTGACAAACTGATTTTGTCTAGTCTGACCTTTTCACTTTTGTTATAGTCCTCAGTGGCTTTATGTGGGGGGCCTTAGTTCTAATTCTTGTGTTGTAGGCATCTCTATGACCTCATCTTTTGTTTCTGAGTTAAGACCCTAGACCAGTGGTTGGCAAACTGCGGCTCGCAAGCCACATGCGACTCTTTGGCTCCTTGAGTGTGGCTCTTCCACAAAATACCGACTTCTGCGCACGGACCACAAAGTTTCAATCGCACTGTACATGCGCGCCCGCACGTGGTATTTTGTGGAAGAGCTACACTCAAGGAGCCGAAGAGCCACATGTGGCTCTCGAGCTGCAGTTTGCAGACCACTGCCCTAGACTAAGGACACATGTAATAATTTAATCAATAAAGAAATTTTTTTAAAAAGACCCTAGACTACTGAGACAGGCAAACCCCAATTATATCTAGCATAACATTAGTTCATAGTCTTATGGCTCTAATTTGGCTCCAGGGGGCTTCCCTTACAATTTCTTACAAGTGTAGCCACACATTTAAAAAGATGCTTCTTTATATTGTAGGATGCTTCTTTATATTAGAAGACTTTCAGATTATCTAGTTTCCATAATGCCAGAAATTATGGTCTGTTACTTTTTTATAGACTGTGAACTCAATGAGGACAGGACCAGTGCCCATCAAGTTCACTCTATGTTCCTCAGCACCTAGTACCTGGTACATACTAACTAGACACTTAATAAATGTGGAGTGAATGAAATGCTGTTCATTATAGATTTATTAGTAATAGGGAAAATGGAAATAAACCTAGATGTCTAATAATATAATACTGAACTAAATGTTTATATTTACTTAAAAATAAATAGCTATTGCTCATATATATTTTTCAGGCAGAAAATGATGATTTGGAGGACTGTGTTATAGACTGAAAATTATTAAAGATTAAGTGTAGGTGAAAAAATCAGATTCAATTTTGAATTTATAGTATGGTAACTAAATATGCATAACACTGAATATGAAAAATATGAAAAAGCAGCAACACTGAATAATGAACACCAAAATGCTAATAGTAGCTTATGTTGGAGTGGTGGATTGAGGGTCCCTTTTTACCCTTTATTCTTTAAACTTTCTATAATGTGGCTTTAGGAAGATACTAAAAAGAAAAATGTTTATTAGTGTCCCTAAAAGTTTTTAGATTTAAATACACTAAGAGGTTGATAAAAATTTCAGAATTAGTTTTATTATTAAAATGTTTACAGAGTTTTATATGAAAATACAGAAAAAGACCTTTCTGATACTCAGCGACACCTTGCTAAGAAAAAATATGAGCTTCAGCTTACTCAGGAGAAAATTATGTGCTTGGATGAAAAAATTGGTGAGTTATTTTTTCCTGTTATTACTTTTTCATTACGTCTGCTAGAAAAAAAGCTTTCTTCTCTCAGTTATAACAAGATAAACTTGGAGATAGGCCCTTCAATTAAAAGTTTATGATTCCGATCATGGAAACAAAATAGCAACACTTTTTAATTTATGATGGTCACTTTTAAATTTACAAGTTTCTGTGTAAAAATATGTCTTGTTCATAGCAGTTTTAATGAAACATAGTACACATTTATATTACTTTTGGTGGAAAGTATACATATATTTGGCTATATCTATGATATTAGTTGGGTTCATAGAGAAAATTGTTTTTATAGTCTGCTGTTTATGTTTCTTACCATTTATCTGTATGAAAATATGGTCATAATTTAATATTTTTATAACTGTAAAGTAAAATTTTGATTATGACTATAAAAGAACCCATTTTAAAATAGAGGGAATATATGTATATATTGTTTATATTTTTATTGATTTCGAAGAGGAAGGGAGAAGGAGAAAGAAACATCAATGATAAGAGAGAATCATGGACTGGCTACCTCCTGTACCCCCACTGAGGATTGAGCCCGCAACCCGGGCATGTGCCCTAACCGGGAATCGAACTGCAACCTCCTGGTTCATAGGTGGACGCTCAACCACTGAGCAACACCAGCCGGGCAAAGGGAATATTTTTAACAGTAGTTCAAAACTGTCTGGCATAAACAATTAGATGGGTGGAGGTGCTTTTTATTGAGATGGGAAGTATTAAAATATAAATTTAAAATGGGAATATTGAATAACTCATTTTTGGATATTTTAAATCCAAGTAAAAATGTAAGGTAAGCAGTTAATAGATAAGTTTTTATCTCAGAAGTGAAACCTAAGCTAAAAATATACATTTGGGACACATCAGCAAATAAATGATATTAAAACCATGAAATCATCTAGAGAAAATATAGAGAATGAGGAGAAGAGAGTCCAGGACTAAGTAAGAAGAAGCCAAAGAATTAGGAAGAATACCCATAAGTGAGTGTTTTGGGGGAGGCAAGAGAGCAAATGTTTTAAAAAGGATGGTAGTGTTAATTATCAGATAATTTGAGAAGCTAAGTAAGATGGGGATGAAGAAATGTTGATTGGATTTGGTACTTTGAAGGTGTTGGGAACACTGAAGAAGTTTGGATAGAGTGTTGGATGTGGAAGATGGGATAGGCTGAGGAAGACTGGGCAGTGAGAGTAGAGACAGGAGAGAATAGAAGTCTGTTAAGAAGTTTGGCTACCAAGTGTAGCAGAAAAATGGGGCGGTAGCTTGAGTGGGATGTGAGGTGGAGGATTATTTTTAAAGTAGGAACTCCTAGAGCTGTTTCAGAGCTTTCATTTCATTATTGTATGCCAATGGGAATGGACTCATATATCAGAACACCCAAAACATGTGTTTGCCTGAAAGATAGTAGCCTGGAAAAGGGAACTGATCTATCCTCAGGTACCATATAGATCATCCTCTTGGCATGGGATAGTGCCTCTCTTATGCTGCCCTGGATGGTCGTTGGCAGGGAGTAACCTAGAGGTCCAGTCTAGCAGAGCTTCCCTAGTAGAGCTCTAGACCAGAGGTTCTCAGACTTGGGTGTGGTCAGAATCCCCTGGAGGGCTAGTGCAGACCACTGGGGCCAGCTCCTGGAGTAGCAGATGGCCAGGGCTCTTGTGTCTTTTCCAGTTTGCTCAGGTGGGTCTCAAGCTGTTGTGCATTAGAGTCACATGGGAGGGTGCTTGTTAAGATATAATTGCTCTGCCCAGTCAGAATTTCTAATTCGGTAGGACTGGGGTTCCCAGGTGATGCTGATGGTGCTGGTTGGGAAACCACAGTTTGAGAACCAATTGCATAGCAGTCATTTAGGCCTTCAGCATTGACATTGGCTTGTCAGTGTTTCCACAATCAAATCAGACGCCCTGGGATGATTTTTTTCCCCCAGGAATTTTTAGGAAAAATTTAGAGAGATCAGAGTAGTAGAAGACATTTGACTCTGAACATGACTTAATTGAATATTTTATTAAGATCTGTTACCAACTTATATACAACAATGATTCTAGTTCAGAGCGAGGGGAGAAATTGGAGGGAAATGTTGGTTTCAGTATTCCACCCAACTTCATCCACCTATAGTCTGCCCTCTACCCCACCAGGCATGTAAATCTACTTTGAGAACTTGTAATTTGGAGCTTTCTTTTGCTATTCTTATTCAAATGTGTTAATTGTGTTTTTACATTTGTGAATCATTTAGAATTTCAGGATTCATCTTGGATTTTAATCACTAACAACAAAAGCCATGTTTTTATTTGGGATACTATACTTATTTTTAGGCATTGAATGTAATATAGGAAAAATTACTTTGAAAAGTATTTTAATGCACTTGAACTGAAAAAAATTATCTTGATTAAAAATGCCTTTATGATTACATATTTAGATAATTTTACAAGGCAGAGTATTGCCCAGCGAGAAGAAATCAGCATTCTTGGCGCAACCCTCAACGATCTGGTTAAAGAAAAGGAATGCCTGCAAGCATGCTTGGATAAAAAGTCTGAGAACATTGCATCCCTTGGAGAGAGTTTGGCCATGAAAGTATGTTCTGAGAACTGTGGTTTAAAAGAAGTGTTTGCACTGGAATCTGAATAAAATAATAGGTTCTCTCAAAATTTTTCTAGAGAGCTGAAACTTTAAAATGTGATTTTGAAATATTTCAGAATAGTCTTAAAAAATGTGTTCTTTCTCTCACCAATTTGTTGTTAACATGCACTGACAAGAACTAATTCAAATATCAAATATTCAAATTAAAAAGAAAGCAGTGAGATTGATTTCTTTTTAAAAGCACACCAAAACTTATATCTCCAGGGAGCCACTGTGGGAGGCAATATGTTTATTCCATTAAAACTGCCTTTGTAATTGTGTTCAGAATTGATGCAGGTTTTTACATTGTCCTTAGTCATTGAGACTAGACCACAGGGCAGGGGTGAGGAACCTCCAGCCTATAGGCGATAGACGTGCAACATCATTTGATCTGGCCCTGCCAACACAACTGCAGGCAGACTCAAAATTCAACAAACACAGGACTTTCTTTATAGCAACATAAAATTAGTGAATTATATTAAGCAAATGATATTATAAATATCCAAATGACCCTTGGCAGGAAAAAGGTCCGCCCTCCCTGCCATATGGAGTTGGTAAATAAAGCTGGATAATAATCTCCATTCCTCAGGTTTTGTTGTTCAGACAACATAACAGGTGTTGCCAAAAAGGCAGGGAAATATTCATACCCTTTTCTTGCTTATAAAGTGGTTCTGAAGGCAATTCCAAAACTGTTTTCCACAGATGTCATAAGCAAAACAGCATCATTGGAATAAGACCTTGCCCCTCTCTAAGGGAACTAATTCCTTCATCTATCCACCCATAAAACAAGCATTTATTGACATGTACCAGGTATATTATGTTAGAAATTGAGGAGGAGTGGACATGCCTTCCGAAGCCTGTAGCATAATTGGGAGAAGGATAAATAAAGGTACTTTTATGATAGAATGTGCTGAGTGTATGCACAATGTGCGGTTCGAGTCTGGCAGAAGCACAGTTGATCTAACCTGCGGGTTGGATTAGGAGAGGAAAAGATCTAGAAAGCTTTTGAGAAGATGATAATGCCTGGACTGCCCTGAAAATTGACTAGGAATTAGCCAGGAAAAGACTTAGAGAAAGGCTACAGTGAGAGGAAAGGTGTTCAGACAGGCAGAATACCTTTTTTTTTCCCCCTTTTTTTTATTGCTTAAAATATTACAAAGAGTAGTATATTTGTCTCCTTTTTTTTCCCCTTGACCTTCCCCCAGCCTCCTCTTCCCCCCTCCCCCCCAGTGTCTTGTGTCCATTGGTTATGCTTATATGCATACATACAAGTCCTTTGATTGATCTCTTACCCACCTCCCAACCCTCCCCAGCCTTCCTGCTGTAGTTTGACAATCTATTTAATGCTGCTCCAGGAGAATACCTTTTAGAGAAAGGGGATCCAGACAGGTAGAGCAACTTACGAGAGCCCAGTTGCTTTCATCAGAGAATGTCACAGGGTTTCTTGATAGTTTATAATGTCCAGAGCATGAATTGCAAAGAGATAAGTATGGGGTAGGGATAGGTGGCAAAAAATGAGGTGGGATAGGTAAGCAACAAATTTAAAAATGTATGTAATGTTGAGTTTAGAATATCATTGATATAGTGAATCGATGAAATAATATAAACAACATTTTATAGTTACATCTTTATTTTTAAAAATATTCCAGCCCTTGTTAATCCATGTAAAAGATGGATTATAGGAAAGTGAGAATGGTGACAAGGACACTAGTTAGGAGTAAAGTGTTAAGAACTGTGGTAGGAGAGTGGCAGTATCCATGAGAGAAATAGGTCTACGAAGGGAGTAAGATTGACAAGACGTGCTTTCTGACTGAGGAACCATGTGAACAGTTGCCACGTCTGAAGTAGGAAGCACGGGAAACAGAGCAGGCTCAGAGAGGAAGATGATCCACATGTCTTTGGCACATGTCATTGAAATATTCATAGGCTCTTGGATTTTTAGGTTTTGAGAGAAACTGGAATTGAAGTTAAAAGCTTTGGGAATCATGAGCCTAACTGAAGCCCTCAAAGTGCATAAGATAATAAATATTGGTTTACTTGTTTAAAAGGCTGACTCATCTCTATAAGCTATACCTTAATATTTTAAAAAAATGTTATGGCTTTTGGGGGTAGAATGTTTTTCTCATATTTAAACACTACTACTTGAAGAGTTAAACATGTTTTGTTTTTCTTTAACACTTTGAAACAAATTATTCAGATCTATCTGATTTTCCTCAGCTATATCTATATTTCACATTCCTTCCATTCTGCTAATTGTACCAACATTATCTTTTCCTTCGCAAGGAATATTGACTTGCCAATCCATTTCATGATCTTGTATAAGTTGATGATCTTGTATAAGATCATGAACATAAACACATCCATCCTCTGAGGAGAAAAAAAACATTTTAAAGCAATATTAGGCATGGAAAGAGGAAACAGTTTCTACAGTAATATTTTAGAGTTCAATTTGTAAGTACCATACGGTGAAAAGCAATACTCTTACAGTCTAATATGGAGATTACAGAATAAATTCCTATGGGAAGTCTATATTATAATGAATAATATGAAGTTTTTTCATCTTGTGGGTAATTTAAAAAGATGTCCTACTACTTACTACCAGTTAAAGTTAGGAAACTCATTAGGAAGTTCACAGACTTTTTAGTAATAAAAGCCATAATTATTTGTGTAATATTTTAGTTTATTTATTTTTTCTATATAGATTTATGATCATCTTGTCCAGATTGAATTTTTAACAATTAACTTGAACCTATGATTCTAATTGGACAAACATATTGAGGTTGTACAGAAATGTTAAATTGACAGTGATGGCATAAATGTCAACAGTTTTTGAAATGCTGGTATTAGGGCAATATGAAGAGAGAATAGGGCTGGTAGGATATGTTACTGGATTCTACCCAGTAATTTTGTTGCCCTGGATACTTTACAAAGTTCTTAGTATTAGATAGTCATACTTTCAAGATGAGTTTCTATTGATAAAAGAAAGTCCTTTTTAGGCTTATAAATTATATTTAAGTCTTACCAAGTAATGACTTTTGGAAATACTAGAAGTTCAATTTGTTTTTCAGAATTTAATTGGAAATATATTAAATTATATTTCAAAGGCATGTATAAACATTCTATTTTAAGCGGTATTTTCTCTTTGAGTTTTTCCTTCATTGGCTTGACTTCTTAAAGGGGGTTAACTGCTTTGCTAATGGATATGTTAACCATATTCCAATATTTATCTGCACCATTCTACCAGGAGCAGAATGGGAAACCAGAGTAAAAGTACCTGGAGAGGAGCACATGAGTAAAGGGAGATAACACATACACATGCCCGTGCACACACAGCATGCACATACAACTAAACCGTCCTGATGAACAGGAACAGAACTGGTTGGAAATATGGGTTTAGGTTTTCATCTTGTTTCCTTGGTTACTTAGGATTTCAAACTTCAAAGGGTAAAGTGAAATCTAGTTATATAGTGAAAGAACAGGGCTAATGTTAGCCAAAGTATCAGTGAATAGTATCTTTAGTTCACCATCAACAAGCATTTTCAAAGGAGGAAGTGTGGGAATAGTATTGATAGCATGAAGATAAGCACACCTATTTCAGCCTTGACTGACTCGTTAATCTCCCTCAGCACACCCTTGAAAAGGGAGAATATCAGTAGCTTATTTTATTCACTTTTTGCTCTGGGCCTTAGACTTATTTAACTCAGACTTAAACTTAAAAATAGACTTTTATAAGTAACTTCGTTTTATCAGCTACATGGATTTATAACCATTATTTATATTGATGACTAATATAAATAATATACTTGGTCAAAGTTATTAGTCTTAAGAACTAAATTTAGTTTCACATCATTCACTTTCCTGGGTTTCATAACATGATGTGAGGAAGTGAATCAGTCTACTCCCCATGGAGAACACTGTAATGCAAACCACTGGTTTGCCTCCAGGTACACAGTGCTCCTGAGCTCTGGTGTTGCTGGGGGACTGCAGAAGCCTAACAGAGCATTTGACACATTGATCTCATATCAATACACCCAAGTGTAGTCTTAACTCTAGTGAGTATCATCAATTGTTTTTGTCTAGTACAAATATTGACATTGATATACTAGGCTTTAGTTTTAAAGTATAGGAAAGATGAATAGAGCATGAGTGTTTAAACCCAAATGTAAATGAAAAAGGGTGGGGGAAATTGATTTTTGTTCATTCAGTTTTAACAGAAATAACCGTTTAAGATAATTTTTTATGTCATACTTATATTACTTTTCAAGGAAAAGACCATTTCAGGCATGAAGAATATCATTGCTGAGATGGAACAGGCATCAAGGTAAACCACTCGTCCAACAAGAATTTGAGTACATATTTATTAGGGGCAAAGTACTATGTTACGTACAAAGATAGTAAACGGGGCTTAGTGTTACATGGAGGGTGGTAACTTTCTAATGTTGGAAGGAGGCCTAAGTCTGTGTAGGGAAGTAAGAGAGGATATGGTGTCTGCCAAGGAAAGGGAAGGAAAGAACAGCAGAGAACCACAAGACCACAGGTAATGTTCAAGAGCCTCGTGAATGCAAGTAGGTGAGTGTTGGAACCCAAAGTGAGAGAGGAGGTGTGAAGGGAGGAAAGGCTAAACACAGAGGCCTGTGTTATAGACAAATGAGTCTTGGTTTTATCCTTTGGGAAATAAGAAATCATTAAGGAATTTTGAGGAGAATTTTGTGTTAGAAAGATTACCCACATTGAAGAATGATGATAGATTGGGGTTGGGGAGTGTGGTCAGGGGTGAGGTGCTTATGAGGAAGAAAATCTAGGAAAATGCCAGGTTTTGAGGGATGAGTACTGGACGTGTAGAAAATATGGAAAGCGATGGTTTTCCTCTGAATTGGAAGAGCCTTTGAGACCTTGCATATATGTCTCATAAGCAGTTAAATATAAGAGTCTGGAGTGTAAGGAGGAGGCCAAGGCTGGAGGTAATGATTTCAGTGTCTTCAAGGTATAGATGGGGTTGAGAGCAATGGATATGAATAGTATTTGTCTGAGGGAAGGCAGAGAGTAAGAAGAAACAGGAGAGTAAGAGTTGAGCCCTCAGAACCCTTAGGTTTTAAGAGGGCAGAGGAAGAGGAACCTGCAAAGGAGACTAAGCCATGGCAGCTCGAGGTCAGATGGAAGCTTTCTTATATTTGAATGTCAGAAGTTTTGAAATACTTAGCTAATCATTGGCTATTATGTATATTCAGCATCTTTTTTCCATAGTGAAATGTTGGCAACACAGAGAAACTCGAATGCACTATTTTCGCAGTATTTATTCTTATAAATTTAAATGTGTTTAAAACTTCTTCAAATGTTTTTATGCTAACTGTCCATCTTCTGTCATGTGAGAATTTGTTATTCTGTTTCGGTAAAATGTCTCTTCTGATGTACTATTTGATTTGTGCAATAGACAGTCTACTGAAGCGCTAATTATGTGTGAACAAGACATTTCCAGGATGCGCAGGCAGTTGGATGAAACAAATGATGAACTGGCTCAAATCGCCAGGGAAAGAGATATCTTGGCTCATGAGAATGACAATCTCCAAGAACAGTTTTCTAAAGCTAAACAAGAGAACCAGGTATATTTGTCCTACTCTCTTTTTCTCCAAGAAAATACGTATTTCCTCTGAGACGTGGTTCTCCTTTCATTTTGTAGAAACCTCAGGCTCTTTGAAGCAGCCATTTTTTTTACCTCTGTTACACAATATGCCACATAATTTCTAAATGAAACCCTCAGACATAAAATGTTAAATATTAAGGAAAGAGGGAACAAGGAATATAATAGATGTATATTCAACCTTAGAAGTACTCAACAAATGAAGATAAAAGCTTCAGAAACTTTTAAAAAATGGTAGATTTATTTCAGGGACTATTATTCTAAGTATGAGTGTATGAACTATGCCGCATTTTTTGGTTCTCTTTAGCACTAATTCTTTTCAGGAAAATTTCTTTTATAATTACTTCCTCTCTATGCCAATATACTTTATCCACATTTCTCATTTCCAATATCATTATTTTAATTTGACCATTAAAAAAATTCTATTTGGAAGATTTCCTCCCCCCTGAAAATTCTTCAGTCCAAATGATATCCCCATGTACTGTCACTCTCAATATGTTTAGTTGCATCATAAAATTCTGTATTTTAACCGTTAAATATTTTTAATTTTTATAAATAGATATTAAGATGCAACATTTTGTTAATTATAAAAATTGTATATGTTAAAATGCTGTGTTCAAAGTTAATGAATAATGGGATCCTGGAACAGAAAAGGGACAGTAAATAAAAATGAAAAATATCTGGCCCTGATGCTCACTTAGTAAGAGCATCATCCCAATACATCAAGGTTGTGGGTTCTATATCCAGTCAGGGCACATACAAGAATCAACCAATGAAGTGGGACAACAAAACAGTACTTTCTCTTTCTCTCTCTCTCTCTCTCTCTCTCTCTCCTTGCTCTCTAAGGAAAAAAAATCATCATTATATAACATAAACTGATGAACAAAAGCAGATCCAGAGACAGAAAAACATCGATCAGACCATCAAACCTCAGAGGGAAGGTAGGGGAAGGTGGAGATAAGGGAAAGAGATCAACCAAAGGACTTGTACGCATGCATATAGGCCTAACCAATGGACACAGACACCAGGGGGGTGAAGGTATGAGTGGGGGGGGGGGGGGGGAGGGGAATGGGGAGATACGGACACATGTAATACCTTAATCAATAAAGAAAAATAGGAGGAGAAACCAAGATGGCGGCATAGGTAAACACCGGAGATTGCTGTCTCGCACAACCACTTCAAAAATACAACTAAAAGACGGAACGGACATCATCCAAAACCACAGGAAGGCTGGCTGAGTGGAAATTGTACAACTAGAAGGAAAGAGAAAACCATACCAAGACTCAGAGGAGGCGCAGTGCGGAAGTCAAATACTAAGGTGCGGAGGTTGCATGTGGAGCGGGCTGGCGGCTGAGGGTGCGGTTGTCGTTTTCAATCGGGAGGGAGTCTCAGGCTCTGA